GACCCCCAAGGGAGGTTTGGGGACCCCTGGGGGGGGGTCTGGGGGAGGTTTTGGAGACCCCAAAGGATATTGGGGTGCCCTGGGAGGGGGGAGGGGAATTTGGGTACCCAGGGGGTTTTGGGGGGTGGGTTTGTTCACCCCTGGGGGCAGCAGGGGGTTGATTTTGGGGTTTTTGGGGGGTTGGGGTGTATTTGTCCCCCCAAGGGGGCAGCAGGGGGTTGATTTTGGGGTCGATTTTGGGGTTGATTTTAGGGTTGATTTTAGGGTTGATTTTAGGGTTGATTTGGGGGTTAATTTTAAGGCTGATTTTGGGATTTTTTGGGGTTGGGGTGTATTTTGTCCCTCCAGAGGCAGGAGAGGGTTGCTTTTGGGGTTGATTTAGGGGTTGATTTTGGGGTAGATTTTAGGGTTGATTCTGGGGTTGATTCTGGGGTTGATTTTGGGGTTGATTTTGGGGTTGATTTTAAGGCTGATTTTGGGATTTTTTGGGGTTGGGGTGGGTTTGCTCCCCCGAGGGGCAGGAGTGGGTTGCTTTTGGGGTTGATTTTGGGGTCGATTTTAAGGCTGATTTTGGGATTTTGGGGGGTTGGGGTGTATTTGTCCCCCCCAGGGGGCAGGAGTGGGTTGATTTTGGGGTTGATTTAGGGGTAGATTTTGGGGTGGATTTTGGGGTCGATTTTAGGGTTGATTTTAGGGTTGATTCTGGGGTTGATTTTGGGGTCGATTTTAAGGCTGATTTGGGGATTTTTTGGGGTTGGGGTGTGTTTGCTCCCCCGAAGGCAGGAATGGGTTGATTCTGGGGGTAGATTTTGGGGTTTTGGGGTTGAGGTGTATTTGTGTCCCCCCCCTCCCCCCCCGAGGGCAGGAGTGGGTTGATTTTTGGGGTAGATTTTGAGACTTTACAGGGGGAGATTTTGAGGATTTTTTAGGGATCAGGGGAGAGAGGGGGGGTCGCTCCTTCCTCACCCACCTTTCCTCAGGGGTCCCTCTGGGGGGGGGGCGTAGTCGGGGCCGAGCAGGAAACAGGCCCTGTCGCGACCGCAGCGCTCGCGACCCCCTCCCCCTCCTCCTCCTCCTCCTCCTCCTCCTCCTCCTCCGGGGGGGCCGTTTTGGGGTCCCCCCAGCACCAGCACGGCCCCCCCGGGCCGCTCGTCGGGGGACAGGGGTTGGTCGATGGGGGGACAATCCTCCTGCGCCAGCGCCGCCCGCCCCGCCTCGCCGTTCGGCCGCGATTCTGGGGGGAAAACACACGAAATTTGG